TCAGCTTTCTAGATGTGTGTCCTTAAGCAGGGATTAAAAAAACCAGAAGTGTTTTGTGGCTACTAGATCATGATTGCAGATGTCAAAAAGCTTTCTTCATCACGTGCTGAAATCATATCCCTGAAGGCTTCCTGTATCTCTACCGCAAAGTGTAAGTTATTGCCATCTTATTTAAATTTAAATCTAACTTGTTCGTGTTTGACTTTTTCCTTCCTTTGCTTGTTTTATTCATCTTTGCATATCTCTGTAATAGCTCTGACTCTCTAGAGAGTCTGCTGTTGGATATAGGGGCTGATGGGACTGGAGCATCTTGTTGCTGAAGATGGAGATTTAGCTCTTGTGTTCCCTCCTGGACAGGGATCAGAGTACGCAGCCTTCAATGAAAGGATGGTCCAAGTTGGAGCTGCAGGTGGGGACTATGGGAGTCATCCCTGGGCATCTTGTTTGATGCTCAGGAAGTCTCTTAGGGCTTTTCTGCCTGGGTGAATGTAAGCAAACGTGGGCCCTAAGTTAATCAGGTGCAAGATGGATCTGGTCTGTTAGTGCTGTGCCTGAGCGGTGCTAATTTTCCCCACACAGCTGCAAGACTGGTGAGCTGGGGCTGGCTGGTAGAGCATGGGACTGCTGGGCTGCATCTCTGGGCACAGTTATGCCCGAAGACTCCCGGTGCCACAGCTTTTCCATCTCTGAAAAGGGAATAGTAGAGCTTATGCCTGTCCCAGAAATGCTTGTGACAAGCCATTGAGGAAGGAGTCACTAGGTGAGGAGTTCTCACAATCGCTCTGAAAATAGCCCGGGGCCTTTGTTATTAGTTTGACTGGTTAAAAAAAAAAATAAATCTTGTTAGTTGTGTTCTTCCTTGGGGATTTTTCTTGGAAACTTTCTTCCAGTCTTAAATTCCTGTGATTGAAGGCTGCTTTACTTTTTTTTGGTTTTTTAAAATAAAAGGAGGTAAAACCAAATAATTCTCCTTGAACGGCACAGGTTAAAAAAACCTTCTCTGTAAAGAAAAGGTCCTCTATCTTTCTTTTTCCTTTTTGTTTTCCTCTTACAAGAAGTGATTTGAGGAAGGCAGAGCTTCAGCAAATAGCCCTTGCAGGGTGGCCTGGCATAGGCAGCAATTTTAGAACCTGGGCTCTGGGTGAAGAGACCAGTGGGTGTTTGAACTGCTGTAGCGTGAACATCACTTGCAGAAGAACATTGCTCACAGAAGGATGTGGAAGCTGATGTGCAGAACTCAAAAGCTTTCTAGGAAATCACTGGATGCTCTCAACCAAAACACTTCCTCTATTGAGCTGGGCTTCACTTACAGTCAAAGAGGCATTGGAAACAGTGTACTGGGAACAGTACAGGAGGTCAAGTGGGATTGCTGGATATGGGTACTTTTTCCTCCCTCTCTTTTTCCCTGCAGGTTCTGGGGAAGCAAAGGACCATAGCTGTCTGTTGTGCTTCAGCCTGAGAGGGCAGTGGATAAGCTGGGAGTAGTTGGTGTAGACTTAAAAGCCTGAGGCTTAAGAATGGAGCTGCAGAGAGAGTAGTGTTGAGACTGTAAGGTGGATGGACCTTACTGGACAGGTGGGTGCTGCTGGAAGAGGTGTCCCCCTCTCCCAGCAGCCTGTTGCTTCTGCTCCCCTCATGCCAGCTCTTGTGCTTCACTGACCCTTTGCATTTCTGGGTCGTTTTTCTGAGCTCTTGGAGTGAGTCTGAGGTTTGGGAGAGCAGCAGAGCTGGTGCGGGTGGAGGGAGTGAGACTCTGTGGGGTGATGGGAGTGTGCCTTTGGCAGCAATTGAGCATTAAGTCAGCTGTGCCTTCTCATGAAACCTCACCCCTGAGAAAAAGCTGTTTGTTCCCTCTCTGATATCCCTTTCCCTGGAAATCTGTCCTGGCCTCTGTAAGTGTGCCACCACTGCATGCTACAGCCCCTCTTCTACAAGCCAGCTCTGTCTCCACTGAGGGTAGTATCTCTTAATAGCAATAAATGAACTCTTAATTCTGTGACTTACATTCAATGATGAAATTAACTAATTTATTCCATAAAATACATAGTATTGCAGTATGAGATGTAAATGTGGCTGTTGAAATCTTAATCTTTGCATTTCTGATTTTTTGTGTGGGTTTTTTTTGTTCCTTCCTCCCCCCCATTCCCCCCAACCTTAATACTTTACTAACAAACTGCATAAAATTTATTACTGGAATACATTCAAATGCATGTTTCTTTGACATAAAAATATAGTTTAGTGAAATGCCAAGTGCCACTTCTCTCAGGTAACTAACATTTTGTAAATCCAATATTTGTGTTCCTGAACACATGAAGAAATACCTGATGTGGATGTTTAGGCACATTACTTTTTCTGTGGAATGTAAATCTGTGGGATTTGTTGTCCTACACATTTTTTTCACCTTTAAGACTTTTTTTTTTGACGCACATTATGAAAATATTTGTCATGACCTGTGTATTTGTCTAGAGACTCTACTGCCATAGTACACGCATGCTCTTATTCTACCTGAATGACTTAAATATTTTGTGGCAGTGTTGTATATTGCCTGGCTAATTTCTAGGGGGAAAAAAAGAGATCATCTTGCTGCTTTTAGCAAAAATCCAATAGAACGGAAGAGTAAGATCTAATATTAAGGCTTTTTTTTTTTTCCTTAAGAACATATTCTGCAGTAAATGTACCAGCACGTTATGGAGAATTATCATACCTAGAGCTATTCTGCATGTGTCTTAAACAAATGAACATATTTTTTTTTTCCTATTTGAAGCTTCATATTTACTTAGTAAGCAAAGCAGGGCTTTGGACTTTTAGACTATGGTGGCTGTAAAAATACGTTGCTTAATGTAGACTGATTGTGTGAATGATCAAGGTTTTAATCTTCAATACAGGGAGTTTTAACCGTTACAATGTTGGTGGAATCTTAGAATAATTTCAGGGATATCTCAGCTGCCATTTAAGCTCATGTTAACTCTTGCCCTTCCCACTCATAATCACTTAACTGACCTTTGGACAATCCGGATTTTGCTTGCATGCTTTCTTAGTGGTAATTTTACGTGTCATGTTTTAAGCTGTATTTTAAATAAACTTGGCAGCTGCCAACAAGAGGTGGTGGCTTCATGTGCACAGCAAGGGCTCTGCTGTCTGCAAAACACAATGTGGCCCTCTCTTTTATGGCTTGCTGGCACTATGTGCATGATAAGCTGGGGAGTGAGGGCAATCTTGGCTAGCTTTCCAGCAGGACTGATATTAACAGGGGTGGCAAGAGCGAGGGTAGGTGCGTGGCCATCAGTCGTGTGCCCCAAGGCCACTTAGGGTACTCATTCCTTGTGCCAGCAGTGTGCTAGCTGGAGGGAGAAGAGGGTAAAATCTGTTTCGTGGGGAAGGGGTTGCTGGAAGCAAAAGTGAATTAAGAGGGCCGTAAAAAATTGATAAAGATAGGACTGTCTGTTTTTATATTCTGCCACATAACATGGGTTTAAATGAATTTCCCTATAATTTGTCTTCAAATACCGACATTTAACTCTTAGGCTGTATAAATGAACTGGCTTTTTCTAGAGTAAAATTCATGCCCTGCGTCCAGGCTAATATGTTCACCTACTATAAACATTACTGCCTATGGTTACAACCGGAATAAAAAATTCCTTTTATATACATCATAGCTGGCAGATACTCCTGAGACCACCACAAATCACTTCAGCCTTTTGGTGCTCTCTGACGAAATGAACTGAAATGTAAAACAGTTCAGGCTTCAGGCAGGCTGGCTCTGGAAAGCAGTTAGCTTGTTTAGACCATTGTTTGTACCCTCCCGTATTTCCAGGTGCTGAGCAAAGATATTCTAGGAGCTCTCCTGATTGATTTAAACATTGGGGTTTAACAATCTTCCATTCCTTCCTTAAATGTTTCGCTTGTTCTCTGTTCTAGCCTTTCATTTAAAGGAAAGAAAAATAAACAAACAAACAAAAAAAAACCCCTGGCAACCCCCCCCATCCTTGTCCTAAAGAACAAGAGGAAAAATAAGAAGAAAAAAAAAGAAAAAAAACTCAGGGTCATAACAGGGAATAACAAAGCAGTGAGTTATTTATGCAGCCATGATTGGCAAAAATGATTGCAACATGAATTTGCCCAGAAGCAATGATTAGATCATAAAAACGTTAAGGATATCTGTAACTCAACACCATTTTATAGATTGAAGAAGTTTTTGTTCCCTACCTTAATTGCGGTGACTTGTTATTAAAGTATTTATTCAGAGTAATCTCTTTGGACAGCGAGCCCTTATCCCATCTGCATGCATAATTAAAAGTGAGGGGGGAGAGAGGGGAGCATAAATGGTTTACCATGCTACATGAGCAAGGGAGGGAATTACACAATGACAGGTGAAGAGCAGATTTATCTCCTGTTGGAATTTCAATGCTGCGAGCAAGGCAGGACACTGTTGCTTGCTAATATCCTTGCAAACACCACAGTTGCTGCTTCTCCCCATCACTGTCCAAAAATCATTGCTGGTCTCTGGAAGGCCTGCAGCGCTGCATCTGTGGCTGTGGGTTTTGGAGCCATTGGTGCTCAAGCAAAGAGGTTGGATTTGGTTATGTGGGCTTGTGAATCCATGTCTGTGCTTAAAAATGGACTATTTACTTACTTGGCTGGCTATTTATTTATTTATAAATAAACATTGGTAATGTCTGGCTTTGCTGAATACAAATCACAGGGTTGTAATTGTTCCAGCTGAAACAATGTCATCACCTGCCGCCTGCTGCTGTCCCTTTTCCAATGATAAAAGAATTTGGTGCAATCCTTCTTTTTCCAGTCAGAGTAGAAAGAAGGTTGTACTTGAACATTCATCTCTAGGCAGATTTATCATCATTAGGCAGTACTCAAACACACAGTATCTGTTTTTAAATTGAACTGTTATGGATCTAAATCATATTTACACAGAGTAAGTTGGTATCTATTTGACTCTAACCATTTGCTAAAGAGTGTTTTTCCCTTAACTTCTGATGCCTCACCTCTGCAGCAGCAGTACAGAGAATGCCAGGAACTTTTGAGCCTTTATCAGAAGTACCTAGCTGAGCAGCAGGAAAAACTATCGCTCTCCCTGTCTGAACTCAGTGCTGCCAAGGAAAAGGAGAAGCAGGTAAGCTCTTTTCTCCCATCTCCTTTTTTAATGACATCTTTAAGACATCTTTTCTCTTTTACTAGAAATGCAACTTTAAGTGTGTTGTCTTGCATTGCACAGTGTTGAATACTGTTGTGATTGGCTTCCCATGAGTCCTTCCCTTAATACACGGATTGAAGGAAAACAAAAAAATCCCCCATGTTTTGGGTCAATAAAATGGGTGAAGTTAATTGACCATGGAGTAGGAATCGTAGGAATCCATGCCTTTGCTAAGGAAAAGTTAAGATACTCTTCTGTTTTCTGTCATGTTTCTTAAACAGTAAAATAATTGCAGCCTCTATAGATACAGCTTTTCAAATTTTCCCTGCGGCTTTTGATGATTGAAAAGGACATTACAGATGATGTATTTGGTCAATAAGTGCTTTCTCAAGTCTGTGCGGCAGCCCATCTGATTTGAGCTACCTATAATTATATATGCAGTTGAAAAACAGAAGATGTTGACTAGAAATACAACATGTTAAATTAAGTGGTAAAATGTTTCTCAGATGCATGCGCCTAAAGACTTGAAAACATGGTTGCTTGATAGTTTTTTCTGATAGCTAGATAGTTTTGATTTGCATCCCTGCTGATAGTGGATTTTACCCTAGAAATGAAGACTACTTATGCAAGTGCTCCACCTAATGTTCTTACCTGCTCTTCTCTCTGAGCAGCTTCCATCTGCAGATCTCCAGAGTCTTCCCTGCATAAGACTATGCCTTTTTTTATAGGATGGGGCCTTGATCCTTTCTTTTGCTGAAAGTCTTAAATGCTTATAATAGGACTAGAAGTCAGGTCACCAGCACAGAGTATCCAGAAGGTGGCCTGATGCTGGCTGCTCACACCTTCCCTATTAACAGCATTGCACAAATCCTTTGTCTCAGGAGCCTGTGAAGGAAGAGGTGCATTTCTAATGCTGTTCGTGAAGCAGGTAGCAATAGTCCTCCAACTTCATCAGCCTAAAGAATAATTTTTTTTATGCTGCTGATGGTTTTTGGTGGTGGGTTTTTTTTTTTTATTGTAAAATACATTGTTGGACATTGAGGTGTTTCTCAGGCTTTTAGTATTTATAAGCATTTCATTTCTATTCTTTGGTACTTTTATCTGCTTCCATTTTGTGACAGCATTGAGTTCAAAGCAAGAGCCTTTTTCTCTGGGAATGGATGGTGCCTGCATTCTTGCCTGTGCTGTGCAACTTGCTGGGGATTTCCATGGAAAGCAGTCCACCATGTAGTGTGTGGCAGCTGTGTTTGGAATGATGCCAGTACTTCTCTGAGGTTTCGTGGTGCTTAACCTTCCACCTTTAGCCTTTCAACTTCAAATACACGTATCTTGTACTGTGTTAGCACCTAGTATCCCAGTTTAATCGCATCTGTGGTTCCAGAGAAGCAGATAATAGGAAACCTTCAGACCATTAGCTGTCAAATCAGCATCTGATGGTACAGCAATCCACGTTCATCTGTTGTTCTTCTGCCTTCCTAATCACTCTGAAGTCACACAGAGACTTCTCTGAACCCGTTTTCCAATTTCACATGCAAAATTCTATCAAGCTTGTCTTTGATCCCATTATTTTTCTCTATACTTAACAGGTACTTTTGTCCACAAATGCAAATTCAGACATTATATCGAGGCTTGCCTTAACATTTCATTTATGGCCACTTAGTCTACAGCTCCAGCCTAGCAGGTCTGAAATTACCCTGGCCCTCTTGCCCTATGCAAAGCTTTGTAAGCATAGGTAAAAACCTGTCAAAGTGTGTTTCAATTGGTTTTTCTTATAGCTTGCAAAATATTTCTTATGTTTCTAGCCTTCCTCTTCAATTTTCTTTTGATGCAGTCCTGGTAGGCTTAGAGCTGTTTATATCTTGAATGCATTTGGCTTTATAAATTGTTACCTTTTTTCCCAAACAAGTGGTTCATGCTATGTTTCTCCTCACAGCTCAGAAACTGTGGCAATATTTGCCAGACTGCCACATTGGGTTGGTTTTCTTTCCTGACACACTCCTTCACGTGGTAGCTATCAAATCTGAAGAATAGTGACCACTCTGCTTCTTGTTGGACTATTTTGTTATTTTCACACACGTTTTTTTTTCTTGCTATCTTTTTTCTTCTTGCTGTAATACCTGAACTGTGAGCTTTTAGGGTTGTGATCGGTCTCTTTTTGTTGTATTTTTGTGTTGTCTTAACACAATTGGTTCCAGCAGGCACTCTGGTGGGGAATGCAGCAGGGGGGGATTTTGGGAAGTCGGAATTGGGAGGGGGGCAGATCCAGAAACCTTTCCAACTGTTCCTCAGCGCTGCCCATGCCAGGTTTCTCTGCCCTGCTGAAGCTTTTATGCTGTTGCTCTTTTTGTTTTAAGCTGGGCTTTGAAAAAAGCCGCCTTGTTTAAATGCTAGGCTAAAGGAAGTCTTCCCGAGTTTTGCTTGAATCCTGAATCTTTTCCCTATTGTCTGTTGTTGACTGGACTAAGGAAATCCTGGGTATGTCTGGCTTTAAATCAATAGGTACTAGCTTGCTCCCTAGTTTTCACTTATTTGAACTGTCTAGGAGGGGTAATCAGTGTTTCCCATTCCAGGTGACCACTGATGTTACTGGGGCATCTGTGCTGCAATGCAAGATGTCTTTCCAATTTTTCCCGTGTCTTCCAGGAACACGTGGGACTGCAGAGTTATACTCTGCACCGAAGCACTTCTTTATTCTTCTTGTTATGAGCTGCTCTTTCTTGTTCCTGTTCATTTTCCCATCTTTTTCCTACTTGTTTGTTTTGTTTCATTTCCAATGCTACACCTATATCTTAACATTGCCTGCTTTTCGCTTGCCCGGCTCCCTCATTCTTACTGTACAATAACGCTGGCCATGAGCTGTCACTTTCCCCTGGGTTTAGAGAGGTATTTCAAAGCATCTCCTTTCAATCTTTAAATGCTGGGCTTTGTGTTAGAATGAGACAATTAACAGGTCAAGAGAACGGCGGCGTTAAACATCTGTGGCGTTGTTGCAGAAAGAGGTGGAGTTGTGTGGGAGGCAAACACTGCAGTAGCTGTGTTCCTGTGGCTGAAAAGCAGCCATGGTTTGCAGCTATATCGGACTAATGCAGCTACTTTGGTGTTAACTTTTATTTTCGTCTGTTTTAGCATCAACTACCGGCAGCAATAACTCTGAAATCACGTTTTCCTCTTACCTAATATTGCTTCTTTATAACAAAAGTCAGCCCTCGAAATTTAAAGAAGCGTTCTGGTGGTAGTGAAATAAAATTGCTGGGAAGATGGTGGTGAGATGATTTAAGACAGAACTCTCGTGGAGTCAATAATCAGTAACTGGAACATGGAGCTTCCTTTTTTGTGAGATAAAGTTAATTCCATTTGAAAAGATACTTAAGGTGACATGAATTGAATTATTCAAACTGGCCTTCTCAGCGTTAACTCTAGGTTAATATCTCATGATGCCTCTGGTTTCATTATAGGAGTTTTAAGTACATAACTTTTTATAATAAATTCAATACCTAGAAGCCGAACTGAAATTGGTTTACCTTCTTCCAACCCATAAAAAGAAGCATTAATTGTAAAGTGAATATTAAAGTGGTCACTAAAGTTGACTCAGAGAGATTCAAAGAGATAGCTCTTGTGTAAAGGAAGTGAAGAGCTCTACTGAACAATAGGCTCCTGCCCCAATATTAATAGAAAATACCATCCATATTAAAGAGTAGTTAAACTTCTTCCATCAAAAATGATTTTTGGATGTTCTTTCTGCAGCTCCCAAATGTTCAGTCTTTGCCATTTTCATAAGCTTTAAACAGAGATGTAAAGAAAGTTGCCCTTGTTCTAGGTAATCGGGTCTGACCTAGTTATATAGTCACTGCTTCACTGCCATCTCAAACAGTGGCAAGAATCCAGTTTACTTTGGCAAGTGTCTGGCTGATGAGTCTGTAGATGTTCTGCAGTGTAGGGTAGGACTTCAGTCACGAAAGTTGGACAGGCGGCTGAGTTTCTGCAGGACTGGGATTCTTGAGCTACTTCACCTAAAAGAAAGATAATACCTGTAGTCTCAGTATTGCCTATTAAGCTGGCAGCTTTTGTTTCTTATTTGTGGAAGATTTGTGGAAGATTATCAACACATCTGCTAATTCCCTTGATTTACAAAGATTGTTGTTGTGTATGTGTTTTAAGCTTCTGTTCTTCCCCCACTCCACAAATATGGAGTGGGACTGTACACAGAGCAATATCAAGAATTTATTTTTAATGGGATATCTGCTCTTCCCCTTTCTTATGTAGTATATTGTCTGCATCCTGTTTGGTGTTTATATTTCAGTAATGCCAGAGGCCCTCATCAGGAACGAGGTACTGTTGTAAAGCACTGTGCAAGCAGAGTGAAAGACATGGTCTGCTTTGAGAAGATTGTAAAATCTTAAGAAGATTAAGTTTTGTGGGGAGGATAATATTTTTTTTTTACTTTCTTTTAAATGTTACTATTTCTCCTGAATCATTTGTTCATCTTGAAAAATGTTGACACAGTTGTGGTGTCATTTCTCAGAGTCCAAAGGAAGCTTTTTACTTGCAAGGACTAGAAATCCATGTTTCCTTTTCATGTCAGTAACTGAAATTCTTGTCCATATCATTGTATTTTTTTGTCTTAATAAGGGTGATTACATACTAAAACTTCAAACATTGGCTATTTAATTTATTACTTTTTTCCTTTGAAAAGGATACTGAAACAAACAAGTCAGTCTTCAGATGCCCTTACTTTCTGATTGTCTCCAGACTTTCCCATTCCTCTCTTTTTCAACACAGGTCACCTTTAAACGCATTCTTATCTTGCCTAAAGAAAAAAAAAATATATCCCATATATGCAAAGGGTTTTGAATGCTATAAGGTAAACCTGCATGATAGAATTGACTTTGTCTGTTTACCCAGCTGTACAGGAACAATGGATGAGCCCATATCAAAGATACTTGAGAACTGGGATAATAAATAAAGAACTAATTTGACTG